ATCACCTGACCTTTGACCTTCAAAGTTATTGTCGGTGGAAATTCCAAAAATATCATCTTCGGAGAGGGCGCTGTTTGTGCTGCACAGTGAGCGGTGTTTAGTCACAATATTTCGTAGTCCCTCACTTGGTGAACCTCCAGAAGTGCTGTGCTTTGCGCTGCGGTGGTGACTTTCAGAAGAAGGTTGCAAGGTGAAGGTTTTTTTCCGTGTAATCATGTTTTGATAAAATTCTCTATGGTTATTACAACTAAAATGGGGAACCTCCGTAACTGGGGTGCATTACTAGAAACTTGGGAAAGGTAATTGCTTGCAGGGTTGCGCTTGTTTTGGTTGTGTCTTCGGTCGAACACCTTTCTGGTGGTTAATCAAGGAAACATTTAGCTTTGGTACTTATATAAATTAGAAAATGTATTCGGCTCCTGCGTTGTGCCACCCACCATCGAGCCCAACTGAGGGAACAGTCAAAATAACATAACAAAACGGGCTTTGATGAAACTATAGATATGTTGCCACTTGACCAGGTGCGATACACGGGCATGGTTATAGATCGGAACATCTACGTCGCACAACGTTGGCCCGTGCGGCCAAAGAAGGTGAAAAAATAATAAGAAAAGCAGAAGAGCAGAAGTTTAAGTAAGGTTAGGTGTAAAAGGAAAGAGGGGATGGTAGAAGAAAAGCCACTGACTGGATCATTCTCGTCGGTACTTACCGGGACACCCGTCTACGGGAAGCGGCGGCCAATGTGGTGTTTTACCACATCCGGAGGACCCCGAATGGCCCCGACCTAACCCGGTGTCCATTCAACCACCAGGATGCCCTTTTCCCTGGACACGGGAAAGCCACACACAGCAAGACGTGGGCGGGCGAAAGACGTGGGCGGGCGAACCCGCATGGCTCGGGGTTCGTCGTAGCGCCACTAACTAAACAACTGCTTTAACAGGTGCCCGCTTCGGGGCATTTTGTATTTCTCTGCAATTAAAACCGAGAAGACAAGATCCGGGACCGGTAGTCTTTGTGTTATCTGCAATCATTCAACCGCTATGCTAGAGCTTTGTATATTTGAAGTTACCTGTGTCCAATTTCATCAACAGCTGTCATTCGCAAATTTGTTTGATTCTTTTTACGGTGTTTGGCATAGAAAAGATGCTTCGAAATGAACGTTTCCCCTCTACGTGAAAGCTCTTCGACGCGAATCTCCTAGGGTCAACCTTGCCCCTCCCAGCGCTGCTCTGATAAAGCATGCTAACGCAATTTCACTAGAAATACTTCGCACGCCTGGCTGAAAACTTGGCGTGCTGTGCCAATAGGTTGAGCACAAAGTTTTGCCCAAGGTGAGTTTCCAAGCATGATATGCTCAACGAGGTAAAGGAAGAAATTCCCGGCGAAGGTCTAAACACGACTCCACGGAGATTCTTGTGAGCGTAAAACAAAAAATCAAACTGTCCGATCTGAAAAGATAGCACGACAAGCTAGAAATCGAATTCAGTTGATATGTTCTTGAAGGTGAGCTACTGCCAATTACTTAAAACCAAATAGCTGAGGCATTCCAGCTTATCTCTCCTGCTTCGCGTGTTCTGAATTGTGACATGAAGTGCGTCAAGATTTTGTCAAGTCTTTGCTCAGTTGGGCGAGATGCCAGCTTCAGGCCCTGTTTGCTCGAAGCGCTAACCGCTGCTATAGTTAGCGGTAGTACCTAGGAGAGGGATTTTGAAATCACGTGACTGGTTTGGTAGGGATGGGGGGAAACATGGCGGTGCCCAGGTGAGTGAGGGCCAGTCGCTTTAAAAATATAATGTCGTTGTAGCTGCAATATCTGGCGCTATAGTCAGCATCGAATGGTGAAGGAGGCTTTCGCTTTGCCTTACCTTACAGAAATCGCAAAGCATGAGTCATGACTTCGCCGCATTTTTTAGATAGTCTTTTGATTCTGGCCATTTCTAAGCCTATATGAACGCAATAACGGTCGGCATGCAAACGTCTTTGGAAAGCGGATTGCCTTGACTCAATCGGCCGGGTATTGATAGCACACAAAAGCAGACAGCGTCCCAATAGACCTTTTTTTAAATTGCCCAAGCACCGAGGTGCATGCTACGAGTGTAGTTACACGCGTTGCACCTGTTGGCGTCTGCACTAGTAATTGTTCTAAAGCAAGAGGTCTAAAACAAACTTTGCCTTGCACGCGCGTTCGTCAAAGCCTTATTATGATTATTTACTTCGAACCTTTTATAAGAGGAAGGCCAGTGCACGCAGGCCGTAGAATTACACTTCCAGCGTTCTGATGCTTGGGTAGTTTAGAAAAAACGTCTCTTGGGACGCTCTCTGCTTTTTGTGTGCTGTCAATACCCGGCCGATTAAGTCAAGACAATCCACTTTCCAAAGACGTTGCCATGCTGACAATTATCGCGTTCATTTAGGCTTAGGAATGGCCAGAATCGAAAGACTATCTAAAGAATGCAGTGAGGTCATTGCTCGTGCTTTGTGATTTAGGTGAGTTAAGGCAAAGCGCAAGTCTCCGCCACCATTCGTTGCTGACTAACGTGCCCGATATTGCAGTGACAACGACATATTAGTTACAAAGCGAGCGGCGCTCACTCACTGGGGCACCGCCCATGTTTCGCCGCATCCCTACCAAGCCAATAACATGATTTGAAAATTCCTTTCCGAGGTACTGCATCTTACTTTTGCCGCGGTTAGTGCTTCGAGCAAACGGGCCCTGATGTTTACCTCTGTAAGCCCTACAGTGATTCTCGATTGATCCGCGAATAATAAAAGCACCTGCTGTTGAAATGAACAGAACTGCAGACCCAATTGGTGTGAAAAATGTGTGCCATTTTTACAGTACGGGGAAGGTTAGCCTTTAGTTAATGAACATAGCCTTCGAGAATTAGACAAGGATAATCCTGATTTGCTTGATCTAGATTCCGCACTTAAACACGCCATGAAAGTATTTAAGAATTGCTGGAAGGAATTTGTAATTAAAATATCGTTGATAAGGTCTTTTTAGGAGACCGACCTGAAGTTTCTGAGATTTAAAAAGGATATTACAACGTTTTATTCACTCCGTCTAAAATGACTAAAGAGCAGCTCAAAGCAAACATCATGCGTACATGTGTGCTGTATCAATTTATTTTTTGTTTCTGTACTCGCTGAGGGATAAGAAGACAAAGCAAAAACTGTTTTCCATTCGCCTTTTACAGAGTTGACCTTACCATAGTAATGTCGAGTTGTTTTATAAAATGGAAACGTTTATTTTGACATATAATATTTTATGTCGACCATCGTATTGAGACCCGACCATACGTATGAACTTCACACACTGCTGAAAATTTATACAACTTCGAATATAAAGAGCTGGAGCAGATAGGCGTCTACAGTGCTAACGACTACAACAGGTCTAGCGTGCGAACGTATCATGTGGTTATAACAACCGATAGGATTGAGTCCGAGCGCTCTTTGGGAGGTAATGAACATAACAAATAAAAAACACAAATCACGATGAGGGAAGACAGATAATATAAATGCTAGTCCGAGTTAAACAAATATATGTTAATATGTACCCCGATTCATGTGTCCCAACTTAAATATTAATATTAATAATAACCATCATCATCATCATCACCATCATTGTGATCACCATCCATCAGCATCATCATCATTAAAAAACATTGTTTTCCAGTGCTGTCAGAACAGCGCCGGAGTAGGTGCAGACGTGCTCTAGTACTGGGGGCACGTCGGCCCATCTCCACCACAATTGAAAAAAAAAAAGACAAACTAAGGACGCAGGAGTAGGCGCATTGCAACCTATGGGCTTGTCGCAACAAAAGAAAGGTTTTCTCATTTTTTTTTATGGATTACATAAGATATGGTAGTCATCTCCTCATCTAATCACCTAATCAACCCTTGTAGTTCCTTAAGCTTAAAACAAAAACTCGGCCAAGGCAGGATATTATTTGATAAAAAAAAAATACATGTTGTAGCTCACTCAGTCTGTGGCCCCATCACCTCTAAAACACTTCCGAACACCTTCCCTTAGCACTCTAAGGCTCAAAGCCTTGCACTAAAGCCACCTTGAGAAACTATCCTACAGCCGATTTGGGTGAATGTGTGTTTACCCACATGAACTAAAGTACAACGAAAAAGGGGTAATCTCGATTACCTGCACAAAAAGATTACCCGCAGAAATAAAAGAGTTCTTTCTTAGATAATATAGGCTCAAAGTATAGCTACATCGGCTTTTTGATAAAATTTCAAAATCTATAGCTATCATTTCCCTAAATAAATTTGACTAAAATGGTAACTGTCGATAGCATATGTATAGGCCTAAAGGCATATGGTTTTTTTTTGTAAGCTAAATTTATAATGAATCCGAAGATTCAAGGCTCCAGATTCGGCAGCAAAAGGTCAAAAATGTGTGGTTTTATTTCTTTTTAATTTTTGGCATGAAATACGTTAATACGGTTTGGTCAAACGGCCACGCAACTTATAATAACAAGAATAATTACTGTGAGTGATTCTCTTTTAACCTTTTATCAGAACTGCCAGAACTGAATAAAAAAAACTGTCTAAGCCAAGCGTTTTACCTAGCTTTAGTCCAAAATATTTGTGAAGAAATAAAAAAAAATAACCGGAGTAGGTTAATTTATAAGCGAAATGGGGCTAAATATATATCTTTAAGCGAATCAAAACACTCACTTCGACACGCATGTTCAATTTCAAACGAAACCGCACTATAAAATCAACGGTCCTAAAGCAAATATTTTATAGTGCGTCTGCTAAATCCAAATCTATTGTAAAAAAAAAACTTTCAAGAACGCAACAACTGCAGACCATTAAAGAACACTCTATGCGCTCCTTCAGCATTTTTACTTAATTTTTCCGGTGCCCTTTAGCAACAGAAAATAAAAATGATACTACTGAAGGGGTCAATGTATTGAATTAACAGGATGCTCATTTCCTATAAAAGCTCACGCTAAAACCGTTTACACCTTGTAGAAAAGAAAATGATGCGGTATATATTTCTATGCGCTTTGTCGGCTTTAATCCAAAATGCCACTGTGAGAGGTAAGTACACTTTTTAGTCCAATTCATTGGTTTGTTTCTGACAAACCACTTAATTTAGAGCTGTTTAAGTTTAGTAGATATCATATACTAGTGCATACGCGTGCTTCCGTATCTGTCAAAGCATTTTTACAGAACCACCATTGCGCTTTTTCCCCCAAATAGCTTGTTGGAACTGAGTACAAAATATTATACGCCATGACAAAATGTACTAACGTTTGTTATGCAGAGAGCATATGGAGTGTTTTTAAAGAAGGTCTGACACTTTCGGTAATCTGAGGTTAAATATCGTAGTAATGTGGATATTTACAGGAAGAAAGAAATGTGCGTTACCGAGACAACCGTGATTTCTGTGAGGCTTGCCAACCTGTCCAAGGTGTAACTTGTCGCACAGCATACGACCCGCAAATGTTCGTTAATGCACAGCTTTAGCTCGACGTAAGTTAGTCAAACATATTCACACGATGCTTTGTGAACGGACCCTTGCGTGCTAGATAGCATGTTGGAATGTACTCAACAAATGAGCGCATAAAATTAAAACCTAAGCTGTTTAAAATCTGGTCGAAGATGCAAGTACCACTTTTCTAGTATTGACACAACTGAAAAAGCAACAGTAAGAAAGCTTACTGTTACATCTGTCCCAACACGCTCGTCAAAGTCTTCTGAAAAAGCAAGTTTTGATAATCGAATCAATGAAGACGAGCAGTGAATATGAGACGACGTCAACAACTCCAGATAACATTGTCGTCGTGCTGATTTTTCCTCATAACTTACTCATTGCCAGCGCAAAACATTGGGCAGAAAGGCTGCGTCGGCGTTCAGCTGGTACTCGTGTTCAATCATCGTTTCTATTTCTGGTCCGCGACAGCTTTTGGCGGGTTGCGCAGAAAATCAGCTCTACGGTTTCCTTATCCAGGAGGTGTGTTACAGTAATTACACCATCCATAATATCGTTCGCTACACTTTGAACTCCGTGTTTTCCAAGTGTGTTTTTATTTCATTTGTGGAAGGACACTAAAATTTCGTTACGCTTCAGTAATGTTGAAAGGATAAAGAGTTTTTCTTACAATGTTGGCCGCATACAGATTTCACAAAATAGGTGTCGTTGATTACACGCTAAGCCTTTCCAGTGATATTACGGAGACTTCTAAGCAGTCGACAGGCTTAACTCTAACACCAACACCATAAATTGCAAATTTAGGAAAACTAAGTAAAGGTGCCGTGCATTTTATGTTTTTTGAGTAAGTAGTACTGGGTCTGCGCTAGAATGTTCAACTGGTCAGCACATGGCAAGATCGTGAAATGGCTGGCTAATTATTTACTTTACAAATATACTTATGTCATATCGTTCACTCAAGGTGTTATGATAACATTAGCTAGAATTTTAATCTGTGATCTTTCAAATTTATTCGTATTATGACACTATACTTGTCTAAAGATAGTCCTTTCTGTGCCTTTCGAAGCCTTACCCCAAGTACGGCAGAATATTGTGGTCTATATTTTGGTTTCGCATTGATTCCTGGTCCTTTCGTTAATAATATTTGAAAATTTCGTTTTCATGTGCATATCGTTCCCGAAAAAAAATTCAGTTTACTCAATCATTTTAGTCGGTTCGGCTACTAAAAAGAAGTAGCAATATACGAGACTTTTTTATACATCAGGCGCTATTTTATGTTAGCTAGACAAAGACGCCAGCCTGCTATTTATGTAGGGTTAGAGGTCGTGTTTAAGCAACACTTAATTATTTTTGCCCAGGAGAAAAGCCTTATCACTGAAGCGAGCAGCGTTCTTGCCTACTCCTATTGGAATCTGCAAGCTTTTACTGATTAGAATTTTCTACGCCGGATATACGGGGTGTTTTATTTTGACTCAAGAATATTGTTTTTAAAGAACTGAAGTAAGGGACGAAGATGGTCGAGTCGGTGCATGATCGAAGAAATAAAAACAGAGCAAAAATGAATACAAGGACGAGAACAAAAAAAAAATACAGCTCTCACTAACGAAACACGTTCTCTTTCAGAACAAAATAGATTGACACACAAAAGAATAAAAATATTTAAAAAAAAACTGTACAGGGATATATTTTATTACAGTCACGGTAACAGAAATGTGTCAGTCTGATTAATAAGAGATAAGTCATCACCAATAGCGCTAATTGATTCAACACCGACACAACCCTGACATCCAGAATCCTACACTGCCACATAAGACAGGTTCAAAAAGCAGCCTAAATTACTCTAGGTGTCTTTCTGTGATATGTAGGCAGTGTTTCAATATTATATAACTGCGGAGTAGAGCCATATCTATTACAATGTACAGCTAGAAGTTCCTATGCAGCGCTCCGTCAAAAAAGAGGGTGCTCACGAGGCCGGTCGTTTATACATCTGCCCGGTTTTCCTATAGACTCTTTGCACGTATGCCAGATTACAGCCCCTATTGCTGACCTTCTTTTGTTCTACGGAGATGCGTAGTCATTTAAGCGGGCGTTGACGAGCCTCCGCAAAGGCCAATGCTTAGGAGAACAACACAGGAGAAACTGTCATGGCAATAAACCTTCCCTGTTGTGGTAATGATGAATTGAAGCAAACGCAAAATGTAGAAGGAAACACGGAAAGTCGGTTATGGCGTCGCCCATGCACAGCTGCTGCAAAGCGTCGATATAAATACTTCCAGAGGAAAGAGAGATTGTGTAAACCACACCGACTGCAGACGCAACTCATATAGTGCGGTGTATTACCTCAGATAACGAACGTTTTTGTCTTCCTTTTTTTTTTCAATTGCAGAGTGTATAAAATGTGTCCCTAATAACTTGCACCAGACTTCGCCAATAAAAAAAAGGAGCGCTTGGTGACAGTTAAATTAACTGTTGTTAAATCTTTTTGGGAAAGTTAAGAATTCGTTTAGTGGACCAGTGTTTGAGTTTATTAGGAATATTTAGCTAATTTATAACAACTCGTTGAAGAGCCGAGGTCTGGTTTGGAAACTTGTAGAGCCCACTAAGGAACACTCAATGAGGGTGTTTTTCTAAATGATATACATTGCGCGCTTGTCTTTCTTAACCTAAAAGAAAGCTCGCGAAATTAAAAAAGGGACCTTGTGACAAGGTGCCCGCGCGTCGCGATTGCAGCGCTTTCATACGTGCTCTGAAGAAACGAAGCCCACCTTATCACTGTCGCGCTGTACGAGACAGGGCTTCGTGTTTGTGTGGGCCCCGAGATATGCTTCAGCACCTGCTGCAGCATTGTGGAAAGGGTAAAAAAAAAGCGTGCGCGAGTTCTACTCACAATAACGTGTTCACTGGAAGCAACGGAAGAGAATGATAATTTTATTTGTTCATAAAAAGCTAAGACAGTAAACAAAGGCAACCAAAATGCATTTTAAAAAAAATAGAAGCGCAGCGCGTCTCACCGGAAAAAGTCACGGGGACTATTTATTATGTTATCCCTAAGACGGGGGACTTGGAAGCAAAAGCCCACGCGCCGATGCTAACGTGATAGCGAACCTCCGAAGACAGCACGCTCTCTGACGACGCAGTTTTTATACAGTTCGGGCGTGTTTTCGTCGTTTTCGTGTCTTCAATGTGTTTTCGTTCAAAGACTCTTTGAAGGTCGACCGAACGATGCGACATACAAGGCTGACCTTACTAAAAAGACAAAGCAGCGTTGTCCTTGATGTTCACATCGTTATCACGCGGAGATTTAGTCATAATGGCATCGAGACCGCTTCATGAAGGAGTCTCCAGCTTTAACGTTAATCTGACAACGGTTCAAAACAGTTTTTTCTTAAACACTTTTGGCTACCTACAGAATGTGCCTGAATTATTGCCCACCTGAAGGGATGCAGCACTCACATATTCTTGAACACGTCCACTCTTGCACTCCTAATAATACACCGAGGAATAACGCGGCAAATTTGCGTAATTGTTACCTGCAATGCGCTTGGCGTTGTGGGCTTGGTGCTGTAGACACGGTCTTTCACGTACCTCCACAAGAAGACATCAAGGGGGGTCACGTTCGGTGACGTAGCAGGCAATGCCACAGACCCGTACTTCCAGACACACTGTTCTTGCAAGGTTCCGTTGAGCCAGGCTTGAGGCTGGCTACAGCTGTGAGCGTGGCACCGTCGTGCTGAAACAGCAGGTGTAGAAGGCGTGCCAATGGAAGACTACAGCGAAAATCATCCACTGCACCTGCAACGGATCTCGTTCTTACAGGGGTTTCCAGTTGGCGTCAGGTCAAAAAAGACGAGACAAGCGATTCTGCCATCGGTGATTCAACACTGGACGTTAAGGGACAACTAGTACTGATGCCACGACTGCGCCAGCCAGTGGGGATTTTTTCTTGCTCCAGTAATGGGCGTCGCGGTGGTTTACTTGGTTGTTTCGCGAAAAGTTTGCTTCAAAATTTCCACAGCACGTTCTTGAAAAAGTCTGGTTCTTCTTCAACTTCGATCGTAATTTGTTTAGCGAAGTCAACTCTGCTTTGGAAGTCACTAGCCTGCGAATTCTGATGCAGCTGAACGTGGGAGGGTGAAGCTTAGATTCTTTCAGAATCCTGCAGACGGACGATTTTAGTGCAGCAACCTCAGCGCTCACGTCACGCACGCTAGCGTGAGGACGGGCTGCCTTGTAAGCCAACATGTCTCTGCGGAGGACTTCGCTTAAAAACAAGGTTTCTGCCACTTCTTCCTGAAGCTTCCAGTCTGATTCAATTTATCGTAGTTTCTGATGATTGTGGATTGGTTTGGTCGAGGCCTACTGTGCCATGTTCGCTACACCCTGGCAGCCTTTTTCTAACCACCGCCATCCGTTTCCAAGGCAAGGACCATACTCGCCTTTTCCTCATTCGAAAAAGGCATCGCTGGCGTGTTGGAGAACAAATGGACGCCTTGGCACAAGTTGATAGCAACACGACACAAATAAAATAAATTACACGCACGAAGATACGCGCTTAACCGTGACGTGCAAGACGGAAATTGAACTACGACATCCAAGTCCCCCCCCCCCCCTTTCCAGAAAATAAGCTATATGTCCCCTCGGTATGATGCGGTCTGAGGACTAAAACAATTATTCGATACTATTCATTGTCATGGGAGGATCCAAGATCAATGATCTTGGATCCTCCCCATGACAATGAATTTCTACGATCAGTGAAGAACAACGTTGGCTTTCGTGCGCCATTCATCGTGGGGAGAACTAGCGCGCGCTTTTTTTGCACAATCGATGCGCCGATCTCGGGGCCTACGCTAACACGAAGCCCTGTCTCGGACAGAGCAGCAGTTATACGGTGGTCTTCGTTTTTTTTCGGTGCACGTCTAAAAGCGCTGCAATCGCAAAGCGCGTGGGCGTCGAGATTGCAGCACTTGCAGCTGAGGAAAACCTTGATTGGATATTTCTCTCTGCGCTCTACAACTTTTCAATTCACACAGTGGCTCTTAAATAAATATTTTAAGAAAAGAACTACATAGCATTAATTAAGTAAAACACTAGGCGGTACTAAGAAAAAGTGTGCACTTCCACAAAACGTATTCAAACAACATACAGTTGATGTCATTATCGCAGAACTCTCCGTTTTTTTGTTTGTTTGTTTTTGTAACATATAGTGCAAGTTAAATGGAACACCCTGTGAATACATACCATTTCGGACAGGATTAATACCTGTTTAAACACGTTTGATCGCGCGGTTGTCTTCTCCGAACCCTACGAACTGTATCGCCTATGTTCGGCAACAGAAAAAGCAAGAGTACAACGCGTGTTATATGTGGCAAAGCACCGTTGTAAATATGGGGCGGGTTACACAATTTACAAAGTTTACAAAATCCCTCTGGCCTGTACAAATATTTATATAGGCCAGACGGGTACACAGACGTGGACGTGCACACCTTTATGAAGGACAACTGTAGGTAAACTTGATGCGTAAAAAAATGTAGGGACGAGATTCGTACCTCCAGATAGTGCAAAAGGTTACACGTCCCCCCCCCCCCCCCCCCCCCGTATAAGCTTTACAATGTCAACTTTGTTGTAACAAAATCATTGATATACACCAGCCAAAAGTTTAGTTTTTGGTGACATATCAAACATTGGGTCAGCAAAATAAATCTGGGCAGCGTTTCGACCGTAACGTCATATCGCAACAAACTCCTACTCCTTCCTCCCCTGCTCCAGCCGAATACCTACCCCCCCCCCCCCCCTCCAGGCCTGACCCATAAATCAGCCCATATGGGAGAGCGTGTATGAGCACAACATCGCTTCGTCAACAGCGCGGCATCGCCGTGAGTCTTCGAACTGGCCAAAGCGGAAGTGAGCTACGCCTGTCGGACGTGGTTGAAGAATTGTTTGAAGGATAGTGTGCCACTCGTGCTCGAATCGTGCCCGCGATAAAGCGAGCGGTGCGTTTTCGACGACGAGTAGAGAATCCTGACTGGGGATAGAGCCGTCGCCGTGTGTGTGATTGCGGCGCTTGTTTCAGGCAAAACAATCAAGTGGCGTGTTTTCGACGACTAGGGGAGATAGCGCGATTGTTACTAAGTCTGTCTACCGGGGAAATCTCGTGAATGATATTCATGGGGAGGACAGCCTCAGACAAAAATGTTGACAGGCTTTTTTTTTTTTTTTTTTCATATTCTAGAATTAGGCGACATGCTTAAAAAACCAGTTTCGCGTCCGATTTGTTACCATCACGCGACACTCCTGGAGATATATCCCATTGTTTCAAACAATTCTGTTTTTTTTTGCTTTTTTGTTTGTTGATGCAATGGTTTTGTTTGACGACGTGAGCGAGTGATAAAATCGAAAGGATGGTACCGGTGGTTTTATACTATGTTTCAGGTCTCGCTTGAATCGTGTCACGAAGAGACGCTTTACTGCGTACTGAAAAGAAAAATTAAGGTCTCTAACTTCAACACTGACGTGTCTGAAATTGACGTGGGTCTAAACTTGGGTTTCAGTTCCACGTGGCGCACACGATCTCTTATCATTGACGTTGTTTTCGTAGTTTGACGGTGGATATTGCTCGAGTTTGTTCAGAAATCTCGCGTAAACCATCAGTTCACAAGCTTAAATACACCAACAAATTAACGTTAGAAAATGATTCTCCTCTAAAATAAAAAAATAAAAACTATTATTTTAGTTATTAAATATTTAATGCAGTGCCAAGTTGGTCTGGGTCATAAACGTCTGGATTCAGTTTATGCTATCAAGTTATATTATTGGACGTCCGTATGCTCTAAAGTGGCGAATATTAATTAACCTTTCATTCAATATTTATTTGCATAAGAAGTGAAGTGGGGGGGGGGGTGATTCGCTCGATTAAAATTCTTCGCTGTCCAGAAGAGTCGGATGTGTGTTTTTTTTTTATTTTAAAATTAAAGGAGCTGTGCAACGATATTCAATTGGAATGTTTTTCTCTCTACACGAGCTTACTGGCACACCTGGGACTCAAGGATACTCACACGCAACGCCATTGGCCAAGAAACTCCTTTTTTGCGGTGTAATTTCGAGGACAAAAGCGATCATTTTCATTCAATCTCTCCTTTGCCAAATGTGATGACGTAACTCGGGGATCGCAGTACACCCAAGTGACGATATTTGAATGCGGTTCATAGATTGGACCCGAGCATAGCGTGGGCACTCGACTTGGGCTCGTGATAATTGCTAGCTCGAGAAGCATTCGGGTTGTGACCCGTGTCCAATCGCTGCAACGACGACAACAGCCGAGCCATAACAATGTCTGGAACTCAGCGCGTGTCCTGCGCTTTGCCAACCCCAGCGCGTGGCTATGATCAAGACTGGCGGCATATAATCGGCTCCAGATCACGTGGCCGCTTGTTCTGGCTGCGAGTTGAGGGGGGGAACGCTGCTCGTTTTTCTTTAATTTTTTTCTGGGACTTCTATTGCGTGGGGTGAAAAACTAACGCGTGTTTCATAGCTCATTAACGTTAGGGATCCGTTTTAAGCGGTATTTCTGCAGAGTGCAAAAATTGTTGCACAGCTCCTTTAAGCGATGATGCGTAGTAGAGTACTGAGCGTGAAATCGTGGCGCGTTTGAGACCTTTCGGGCTCGAAGGCGGACGTTCGTGACATCTTTTCTTTCGTGGGGATCTTCCACATTATAGTTGTCCTGTCAACTGCTAACCCTAACAGTACTTCAAAAGGCCAGTAGAGGCTAAGCATATCAAAGGACAGATTTGAATGCGAAACACACGACCAGTGAGGTTGCCCTTTAAACACATGCAAACAATATCCTAACCGGAAGTGTCCCCTGCAACATATCATGGCGGCCAGGAGTTACCCGATTACCATATATTAAATATATTCGCGGGAACATTTATGTCACTATTGCTGTAGGACGGCAAAGAGGCTCTGCATTTGACTATTAAGTTCAGCTTTATTGATGTTTTTACAGGTGAATCCCGAAACTTTGAAGTTGCTTATCCAAAGGTTCTTGGAAGCAGAGGCCTTTCGAGTGAAAAAGTGATCCACATTAAAGAAGGCCTAACACTTCACTTAGAAAAAATTTCAATCCTCTCGGAAAACTTGGTTCTAACAGACCTCAGTGGCAAGGAGCCAGTTGTAACTCCGGTAAGCATTATATTTTAAACATGTCATACAATTGAAATAGAGCCGTGAATCATAATTGCACGTCTATATAAAAAAAGATAAACCCACTTTGCAGGCGATGCACTCCAGGCGCAGCGCTGAGGTAACACAGCTCGCTTAATAAGACGCATGCTTAATTTTGTGCACTGCCATAAAAAAAAAAAAAAAAAAAATGTGAAAACAGTTTTTTTGCAGCCTGCATGAGAAAAAGATGTAATAATTTAATTTACAATGAACAAAGAAAGTGTTTAAAGCTATATTTACAGCGCGAAGGAATTTGTAGTTGGCCCCCGCTGGAGCCGCCACTAGTCACGTGGTAGACCTCCGCAGCAAGTTAACACGCGAGCTGCGAAACTGGGCGCAGGGCACCACTTGCCGCTCGCAGCTAGGCGCACCACATGCGCACCAAGCAGCTTTGTCTGGTTCGACCAGATCCGAGCGCCGCGGCCATACAGTTATTATAATGTACGCTAGAGGTTCAAGTGGCGCTAGTGTGCTGACGCAAATTGAAGCAGACAGCAGCCAGTCGAGAATTCACTTCCGGTAATGCATTTCTATGGAAAAAAGTGAGTGCATTTTCTCTCTGCGCTCGATCATAAGAGCAAATATCCCGAATAATTCATACGTACTAGGTAGCTTGGAACATTTCTCAGTCAGGCCGACGAAATAATTGGTCAGTTACGGTGTTTTTCTTTCAAATTCGTAGCATTAAAACGGTGCTAAAACAGCTTCGTACGTGTATTTATGTGCACTGTCGGACACTGATAGCGCGAACACGACGTCGGAGCTTTTCAGCGTGGGGGATATAAGTGCCAAACGAACGAAGAACATCTGGAAATTAAGAACGACGGCAAAAACTACGCAGTAACACGGGATCAGTAACTACACGTGCATATACGATCAAAATTAATTGAAGGCCACGTAATCTATTCCTATTTTAAATAAGTAAGTACCGTTTTATTCTTTCTGCTCTGAGCGAAGCTGCTTGTTCTACGTTCAAAATATCACTCGCACGCTCGAAATCTTTGAGAACAAGTGCCCGATAAAAGCTGCTCGGCAGAGAAAACAATACGAAGAGACAACTTTTATAGCCCACGGACTTTTTTCTCTACGTTTTGAATATTTTTATCCGCTCATGCACGAAGGGTTCATTTTCATATAGTAACAGGACTGGCATATTATCCATATATAAGCGTCACCGGATTGCTGGCGAGCCTTGAACACACTCTACATTCCTTTCAATTGTAAATTTGCTTTGAATCGTCGCTTGTTCTACACACCTGCTGCGGAACACACGTTTGGGACTGAAATTTAGCGAAGTTAAACATCGGTCACTAATGAAGAAAAATGCGCTAACTAAAGCAATTACAGTTTTATAGTGTTAATCAAGGTACATACTATTCGGTACGACCCAAATAACCAAAGTGTTCCGTGTTATTTTGCGGCGAAGAGACAAAATGCACGCACGCTTTCCCATAGGAATACACAGGAAGACTGCAAAAGTAGACTGGTTGCTGTCTGCTTCAATTTGCGTCAATGAAGTCGCATAGACACTAGCGCCAGTTGAACCTCTAGCGTACATTATAATAACTCTACGGCCGCGGCGCCGCGCGAAAGTTACGTAGGGGCGCCTGCACCGGTTGCTATGGATACAGCAGTGCGCTGCCACGCGGCGACCGTTTTTATCGCTGTTTCCCCTGCCGTAAGCATAGAACACATGAGCGGCGAAACCGGACGTAGCGCGGCGCTACGCATGGCGCAATACCTGGCGACACACGGGGATATATCTGTATGCAAGACACATGCACTCAAAAGCCCGTAGCGCGATCGGTACATACATAGTTGCTGTGCCACCATTAGCACCGATCGTAGAGCGACTGGTAGTACGTCGCATTAAAACAAAAATTTACTTATCTCCACGTGGTGAATAATGTTGATTGGGGCGAAGCTCTGGTGGTGCAGATGATACTGGTTTTGTTCTTCATAGGTAATGCTGATGGTGCTGATTTTTTTTCTATTGCTCATAGGTAGTGCTGAGTTCCGGGTTGCGTTTCGACTTCGTTATTACTGCTTTATGGTCGGTGAAAAGCAGAGCCAGTGGTTCTTCTAGTGAATCAGTTTGGATCCGCTTGAAGCCGTGGGAACGCATCTCCGCCGCTTAAGTCAACGGTCCATGCCAGAAAGAGAGTGTGTGGTATCGAACGTGGTTATATACGCATTTGAACATTTGACCGCAGCGCCCTCTCGACTATAAACGTTGAGCCAATGTATGGAAAATTTAACGCGATTATATACGCATTTGACCGCAGCGCCCTCTCCTGTGTAGACGTTAAGCGGCTATATGCAACGTTCCATTCATGACAGAAACCCCAGCTCTTGAGTTGCTTAGTGTCCTGTACTCGTCCCGAAGTCGTGGCCGAGTGGTTAAGGCGATGGACTAGAACTTCATTGGGGTCTCCCCGCACAGGTCCAAATCCTGTCGACTGCGCAAATATATATATATATATATATATATATATATATATATTTTTTTTTTTTTTATGTGAGCACGGACGGATTGACGGACGGAGAAGGCTAGACCGTAAGGAACTTCGCCCCTTACACATTATTTATGCCCAAAACGTAAATTAAAGTATTCAGATTAAAAGAAAAAAACACACGGCATAAATGTTCATGTGCTACAATTATATCACTCTTAGAGCAATAATGTGGAAGATAACATTACCGCCAAACGTATGTTCACAGTACTACCTCCGTCGTGTTCGCTTTTTTTTTTTTTACCCAATACACTTCAAATAAAAAAAAAATAAAGATGGAAATCGTTTCAATTAATAATTGTGTAGACTGTATGAACATATATTTAAATATTGATGACAACGTGTCCAACTTCGCTGAGACAGCTGGAGGTGCAGGGCAGGTCAGTCTTGAAGGAAATACACCGCAAAAGGTATACGGACTCCTGAAGGCCGCTACGAAGGCATTCAGGGGTCCAAAGAGGCGCAGATTGAGCACGCAAGGCTAGCGCGAATCGCTTGTATGAGACCCGACCAGTTTTCGTGAGAGTCTTGGCGCTTTCGGTCGAAAGTACACGGAGAGGCTTCATTGACTTTATATCAAGGAAGTCACACCGAATGCAATAATTATCTGGTGTTATGACAGTGACAGCCAAATGAAACGTTGCAAAGCGTTATCCCCGAGCATCATAAAAACATCATGCATGAGAGTAAATACCTACCAACGCACTCCAAAGTACTCACCCAGCAGAGAACTTCTAAACCACACAACACGTTTCTTCGTTTCCCGGCGGCATCGAATGGCTGACTGGACAAGCCTGACAACGCCAAAGGTTTTTCCTGCACAAAGTGCATCGTTTAGGCATCCTTTCTATACCCCTTATGTTAACTCCTTCCCCCATTTGAGAACCATTGCTGTTAACACTCGGTAGTGCCAGTTATTTCTGTACTGTATAATTTGTGTTCCCTATCAACTGCCCCGGAAGTTCGAACAGGGTTCGAAATTGACACAATATGAAAAAAAAAAAACTACTTAGCTACAATTATGCTTATTTATATCAAATATAGAAGAACATCCCGGCCACATTTATTATGTATAGCAAATGAGGTGAAACTAAGCAGAGGCGACATATGCAACTGACTCCACTAGAGGTACTCCCAAATCAAAAACGTACTGAGGGAGCTAAAACCGGTTTCCTCAATGCAAACGAAAACCGTGCTTTCTCACTCCAAAAAATAAACTCTGCAACTATGTCCAAATCTAGCGCCAGATATTGAGTCAAGATGAAAAAGTTTCAAGGCTGACATACATTTGATCCTAAATTTCGAAGCGAGTTTTGGAACTCTGCAACAAAACAATAGCAGCCAGAAAAACCCGGCAAATATATAGGTATAAAAGGCATCACCTACGAGAAATGAGCCCTATTTCTTAAATGTAAACTGAAACAGTGACTTCGTATTTTTGTCAGTTTACAGTAAATTCAAACAATTTACTTATAATCTCATAGGCTTATGATATTTGGTCAGAAACTGATCATCCGGCAATGCGTGATATAGTGACCACCATTATTTTTTTTATTTAAAGGACTTGTACATCAGGCAGTAAGGTCTCGGGGTATTTATTTTGACGGGAGAGCGTCGGTGAAATAAATACAACTGAAAGAATAAACATAGGAACGAACATGACCTCACATCTTTCGACTTCGAACACAGAAAGCTATTTGTACTGAAAGTCGCAAGATGTGCTGTTCTGTCCATCTGTAATTTTATTATTTAGTTTTATTTCGATCCTCGGGGCACTTGTCGAAAATCCCTTTCACATAGATTACAGTTGCCAGCTATTTTCCGGAAAAGGCATGTTGTTGCAAAATAAGGCACTTTCATCAAGACGTCCCGTATAAATCATTATCATAAATGACAGACTGCTACATGCATTTTCTAAATATTTTTAATTCAGAATACATCGCATGCCACGATCAAAAAAGCCTCTTATAGCATACATGATTATTGAAACCTGTGACTGTTTGAAAAACGGTATCAATCCTCATGTAAAAGTTACACCAGCTAGCCTGCACTTAACCGTTTTTTCCTTATGACATATTTTAGATCAATTATGGCCTGCTGTGCATATCAAAAGGAACTTCGTAGGCGTTAAATCGTTTGCCGTAAAGCATTTTGTTCAAACTTTAACCGCGCAATCTTAAATGTGCGTATATTAGGCCGAACTATGAGGACCGACAGCGCTCTGTGGGTTTCTTTGTGCGTGTTGTGCAACTTGAAAATGCTCAAGTTCTTTGCTTGTTTGCGGGAATGTGCAACCACATACATAGGGAGGATTGTTTTCTTGGTTTCGAAATATTATTTTGCTTAGATTTTACACCATACATTTTATTTTATAACCTCAAACGCGTTTCTTGTCGGAAAGTGTTAGTGCAGATATGTAATTTAATTTCGCGTGGAGTCTATTTTTTATAATTGCATCAGTGGAATGGTCATTTTCTTAAAAAGGTTACAGGCTTTATTTTAGTATAAGATGCAAACGCTGTAAAACTTTAAATGAGGTATGAACATGCGACTGTTTAAAAAAATGTTATGTTCATAGGGGAAAGTACATAATCAACATAAGCCCCGCCCCGTCTTCAGCTTTCATGTTGCGATTCACGATCCGTGACACCTGCTGATAAACTTTAAGAAAGGCACGCTTCACATACTTAACAATAGCTTGGTGTTTCTTATTTGACATAATGTTATCAAAATGGTAAAAAAAAACTTTCGCGTTTATTAACATAAAAATTTGAATTTTTAGGTGACAACTCAGATTAAAAAAAAATTACGAGAAGTATTGCGTAATGTACTTTTGTCTTACAAACTTTTGCGACATTTGTTTCCTCAGAATTGACTGTTACAAAATTTAATCGATTAAATATTTTGTTTTGTATTATATTACTTTATCCGGTGTGACATAGATTATGCTTTGTTTTAAACCACATTTCAGCTAACAGTTCAATCCTCTATGACAATACTTGGCGCCACCACAAGCAGTTCGGTGTTCTACAATATTAGTCTCGTATACCAATGGAACATCCCTGCCGTCGACTTCGTTGTTTGATAGTAGGCGCGCTTGTCACCGAAATGACCGATTAAACGACGTCCTTTTCATTTTTATGCCCGCGAAACGCTTTCGATTATTTGCGCTCCGGCGTAGAATTATTAAGTGCGTAAGAGGGACATGTCGAAAGAAAAAAAATAATTACTAAAACCGATGTATTTGTTCTTTTCTTCTCGCCAGCTGAACTCGCGCAATTGGTCGAAGATAGGTTTCTTGTTTATTTTTGGAGTCTTAAACTTAGCGAGGTGGGTGGTACTGAAAGTCCCCAGGCCTCTTTGAAGAGTGACAAGCTACTGTAAATAAAACTAAATATCGTTCTGGAGAAGGTCGTCAAACTGAAAATAAGGATTTGCATTGGCAATGTCCAATGTCCGTCGAACGTTGTCCTCAGTTTCGGGTTTGAAGACAATAAATGACCTCAATGAGCTGCGAAACTGTAGTAGCCAAGTTCAAACGATTTTCAGGCTACTTGTGACCGCCGCCTCAAGCCCTTTACCCCCTTCCTCCCTCGCCATTTAAGAGCAAAAAGGTTATGAAATTTTATCTTACTGTTCATTCTAAAATAAAGAATTGGGGCGTTGCTGCTGGTCGCCATCAGGTTGCCCTGCCCCAGTTGTACAAAGTCAGCAAGATTACAAGTGTGCCAACGTCCTTTTGCGTTGGAAAGGGAAAGCGTGATTGTAGCAGACATACCGAGAATTCCCAAGAGAAGGCAAAATACACACCGACTATACTTAATCAATGAATGTCGGCGAAGGCGTGGGATATAATTGTTTAGGGGAGGCATGCGTTTCGATTTATAGGTCATTATGATTTTAAAATAAGTATTAGCCGTAGAGGAACTACACGACATTCCTACAAATATGTGTCCATGTTTGCGTTATTTTAAATTGATGCTGTGTTATGCAGCAATATTTCATTCGAAATATTGACTTTTGCGCGACTCCTTAGTACGAGCAAATGGTTTCGAGTGGAAGGTGTTTCGCGAAATTTATATATTGGTCTAATTTAGTACCTGGCGGAAGGGACAATACTTTATACGCCCCTCAACAACGCCATCGTAATCCAATTTCGTGTCCTTTGTTGCGACATTCGAATTGGCTGATGTTTTTTGAAGCATTGGGTTCTGAAGTAGTTTTAATATAAGCAAAGTATTGAAACAGGCAGTTTCGAAACATTTATTTATGTTCCTTTACTGGGTTTAGTTTTCCGACAATCTTTAAGTTATAAACACTTCAGTGTGTGATTCTCAACACAAGTTTAGTTAGTAAACACGTGTTGCGTGATCCAGTTGTTTTTGACCTCGCGAATGAGGAAATTTACAGCCCACTAAAATGTTTTCATGTCCTTGTTCATCCATTAGTTTATTCCGGTACCTATGATTCGCCAATATTTATTTTATTTTAATAAACAAGCGCGTAAAGCTAAGCTGCTTAGACAAGCCATCAGCGAAAGCAGACGACAGATGAAAACTAACCTTCTCTTCGAGCTGCTCGGCATTACTGCTAGGTGGCGTGGATTTCTCTGGAGTCTCTAATAAATGATAGTCGAAGTTTTGGAAATCAATAAATTTTAGGAAGAGTGACAATGAACGTTTAGCGTACACAGTCAGACTGTATTTTACTAATGAAGTGTGCAACTTTTGTTGCCGATTTGATGTTGTTCAGAGAGAAAGGAATGACATTACCAATTAAAAAATATGTCTGAGTTATTGCAAAAAAAAAAACAAGAAAAAAAACGTCATGTGCATACAAGTCATTAGATATATTTTAGTATTTTATTTTTTGGGAGTTTCGGAAATTCACTGCTTAGGGTGGAGGGGGGGTGGGAACCTGAGATAGAAGAATGGTTTCTTGACCGAAAGCTATATTTTGTGCATCTATTTTCAGTTGAGGAATGAAGGATGATTGAGGGTCACCGAAACATATCTATTTTAACACAAAATACGCCTCATTCTGTTATTTTAAGCCGTGGACAGCCTAGAAGGCGGTATATTTCTCAGATGGAATATGCACCAGAACAGTTTAAGATCGTTCCTGACGGATATTTGTTACCTACCTAAAATGAATAAGTATGTGTAATATTCTGTTCGTTTGTCTGTGTCGTGGCGGTTTGCCCGGCATACGCAATGGCTCCGTCCCGTGTTCTTAGCACGCTGTTCCCAGCACTGACTTACAGACAGAAGTTAATCGTTCTACGTTTTATTCTTAAAGATGGTAGCGTTCTACCTATCTGTGTGAAGCGAGAGACAAGGGCAGGACATTGTTGCATAAAATCATTAAAAAAAATGTTGTTTGGTACGTGACAAATGAGCTGTTCCTTTGATTGATCTCAGTATAAATGTTTCTCTTGTGTTCTTTGTGACTGGCAAACACTGCAAACGACTTATGTTTCACGGGCCCAATATTTCGCGATTTAGGTGAAAGCTTCAGTTTTGGAATAATTCGCGTGTTCTTATTTATGCGACGCGGTGGGATCTGAATATAGATTTCAATGTGTTTACATTTTACTGGAATTGTTCGTGAGACCTATGTTTCGCGAATCGGAAGCAATTCGTGAAATTCGAGAAAAATAGGTCTTTATAAAAATTAAATCGTTTACAATATAATGTTTCTGAAAAATTGGTCATAGATCATTCAGTTCACGTTGGGCGTTTTTCAGATGAACGGAAAATATATGGAACGTAACCTGTACCATGACAAAGAGAAAATGGCGGCGGTTGAGGTGAAGGAGGAGAATGGAGCTGTGGAAGTGGTAAGATACTTCTAAGAGAGATTTCAATGGTGCACAACTTTGAACAAGCAGTCTTCGTTATGAAATTGGCCACGTCTAATACAAAAGATATTTCACAAGCGCTGCTCAAAACTCAAACTTATATATTCTCAACCTACCGGTTGTGTGGGATAAAAAGAACCGTGTTTTTTATCGAAAAGTCCTACTACTGACAATCGGTAGTGCTCAGCATACATCCAAATGTAAACATAGCGAAATCATGCATGTACCGAAGCTTGATGACATGCAGTTATTCGATTCAACACTGTCAAGCGATTGATTTTTGAAACCACCAGATTTGTGTGCTATCAATACAGAATAAAACGTCAAAGTTTGAAATTAAATTTACCTATTGAACTAAAATTTTGTTTTTAACGCGAAAGCGTTAACTATCCCATTGAGCGGAGCCGGCGCCGTATGTAACCACGAAAGAACATAAAAGAAATGCCCATTCTCCCATTGGCTGAGCAAAACGGCTCTTAGGTAGCCATAGGCGGTCGCTTTACGACAGCGCGCGCCTGACCACTCGTGTCAGGTGTTGCCGGGGAAGGGGGGGGGGGGGGGGGGGAAGGGGGGGGGAGAGCAAGCCGCAGCCGCTTTTGCTTCTCTGGGCGCCGCGGAACATGGCGACGCCTGAGGCATCTATGTCGCCGGTGGCCGCAACCTCGGCAGAAGCGACACCTGGCCGTCCACGCCAGACACCACAGACGAGCTAAGGACGCGCAAGGATGACATTCATGCTTTTGCATTCACAACTCGGAAATTTCTCCACGAGAGCTCGAGCTCAAGCAAAGGCTAAATAAGAACTGCTTAGATATCCTCGAAATCTATTAGCGACAGTCATTATAAATACTTTGCTTTAATATATATGCTATGTTTAACGTCTGGTAGTACTTCTTTTATTTGCCGTCTGTATCCGTTATCTAATTTCTTAAGGTTGAATAAGTGTTTGTGTTAAAATAAAAAGTTAGCGCGAAATATATCCGCAAAAGTGTTTCTACGTATCACCAATAACACGTTCAATTTTTTATATGGAATTCGTGAGGGTCGAGTTCCATGATGTGAGATTAATGTTATATTGAAATGCGACTTTTTTTACTTTCTAACATAATTTTATTCTCGCGGATGAAAAATAGGAGGTGAATATGAAACTGAAAATGAAGGTTTCATTGACGAATGGTTGCAGAAACAAAAAGAAAGATTAAGCGTCGAAAAAGCAGAACTGAGCGTAGGGGCCACGACGTGACAGCTCGCAAGCGCGAGAGTGCGAGAATCAGTCGGCAAGGCCACGCTGGGATTCTTATCATTCCAATCGCTGCCTAGAACATTCGGCCTAGTATACTCGAGCGTCCAATACTCAGGCGACTAACTTGGCAGGGTCCCCATGCTCGCCTCCCTATCAATTACTTCTGGTATCTCGACTTAAAATCTTCGAGCGTCGAAAATTTGGGGTAAGGGTAAACGCGAATGTTTTAAAATTACGGAATGACTTTCTGGCAATTCACGTGGCATTACTCCCCCTTAAAAAGAGCGCATCATCTCGATTCAACTTAAAAAAAAAGTAAACACAAGGCTACACCAAATGACAGTACATGGTAAGGTGCGGGGCTTTCTGAACTATGACGATTCCTGAGTCCTGTCGTGCATATTATGGCTCGAGGCGAACCGCGTGCACTACTTTGCGTCGTTACTCGCGGCATCCTGATGGTCAGTTTCTGTTGGGAATAACCTCATAATTCAAGTCGCCAAGGCGGTGAATAACGTTGTAGGATCTACAGTACCGTCCTAACTTTTTCTTTTTTCGCTGATGCCGCGGCAGTGAATGGGCGTCACACACATACCCTCAGACTTGTACGTAATCCGTTACAAGTAACGAAATTACTTGTAATCCCTTACATTTATCGGTGATTTAGTAACGGAAAAATTACATATTTTCTAGACTAATTTTAAAGTAATTCCCTTACAATTTTTACGTAACGGATTCCTTGTAATCTGTTACTTTTTTTTCAAGACCAGCTTCTCCCCCCCCCCCCCCTTTTCTAAAAAAAGGGTTGTTTTCATTTTGGTAAAGTTGAACGGCAGAGACACTGTCACGCGAATTGGCCAGCGCAAAGGGAGGCTTGGCATTCCAGTTCCGCAAAGTCTTTTTTTGGAACACCAAGCCCCTGCATCCATTCTTTTACACCCTAACAACGATGTCAAAGATCCAAATAACCATTTCTACAAAAAAAAAGAGGGAGAGGGGGGGGGCAAGTTATATCCGATTTTTTTAGTGCCTGTTTTCTGTCTTTGCGATCGAAGACGGGGAGAGGAGGACACCTAATGATTGTGTGCCTTTTCGAGAAGCTCGAGGCGGTAAGTGCACAGGCAAGAATTAACAATGTCCTTTTCGGTTATAGTGACTACGACCATTTTCATAATGTCACAACATGGGACAACGCTCCGTCTACCCTAAAATTCACTAAAAGAGATGTGATAATATGCGAAGGTGTTATTGCCACAACCATCCTCGTTCGTTGCTGCACACTTATCTTCTCTTAACATGATGTATTTTTTTTTCTGCTTTTTTCACTTTATTTGACCCTGTTTCAAAAGCTACTTACTTCTTTGTAGTCTAACTTCTAGGGTTGGCCCACTTTATTTGTGAACTCCAGCCGGGTTATCTGCATCTCAGTCACCCTTTTTCGAGTCAACTTTTCACGAGCACTTCGAAAATGGTAATAATCTACCCCGCACGACGCATCTTATCGCAAGCAGATATTTTTATAAATAAAACATAATGATGGCTGACGTAGACTTGACATTCTGGGCTGGAGGAGCGAGTGAAACTTGCGAGTGGGGCCATAGTGTGTCTTACTTAGTACTCTACCTTTCACTGCCCGTGGCATCAGCGGATGTCTATCTGGAGAACACCGGAGTAAACTGCAGTCGGCTCGCGCTCTGTGCGATTTTGAAAGGCACAAATAAAGGTACATACAGCAAACAAGCGTTTACATTTATTTGTTTTAACCAACGTTCTAATTAATTGTTACGAATGTCCTTTTTTTTCTCGATTACTTATATTTATATATTAGAAACTCTTATTCACCAACATCTCAACCGAGGCTCGACGTGTTCATAGCCAAAGGAAGAAGAATATCGAGCCAAACCTTATTTATGATTTAATTATCACCTTACTTTTACCAACCCTACTAAAACTCTCGAATATCAGGCAACGGCTGCAAAGATGAAGACTTGCTCTATCTTCGAGCTAGATAGTACTTCCATCGCTTCACTGAAGAAGCTCACTGCAGAGCATTAAATGTTCGCGAGGCACAATATGGCACTCCCATCCAGTGCCTCAGTTCAATGGATGTTCAGCGTAGCAGTCGACATCTTCAGTAAGAAATGACGGGAAATGTCTGACGAGACTTTCGAGAGCCAGCTGTTGCCCAAAATACTGAAGTTCAATGAATGGAGCAGGTGGCAACAATAAGAACTTAAATAATCCTCTTTCCTTTGTTTCTTAATTGAGGACGAAAATGATGAAAGTAACGCCACGAAAGTAACGGATTACTTTTTAAGGTAACGGCCACTTACTTTTATGAGAGGGTAATTGTAATTGTAAAAAACTACAATTTAGCCTTGAGTAATTGTAAATGTAATTCCTTACTATTTTTCAGTAACGTGTACAAGTCTGCATACCCTGTCTCCGGGCTCGAAGTGGGCGTCGCGACGACAAAGGCTGTACCTGGCGGCGTCAATATGTTACTGAGTCTTAATCGGAAGGTGTACCTCTTCCGCCTGCTGGGTGACACCTGGGCATCGTCGATAATGCCGTCTGCGGGGCAGTGGAGCAGCATCGCGTTGAGCTTCTTCGTCACGTTTCAACCTTGCACCATCTGAAATGGGGTCATTCGGGTGGTTTCTTGAACCGCCGTGTTGTAGGCGAACGTGACGTAGGGTCAAACGTCGTACCATATCTTGTACTCTATGTCCCCTGACATTAAGATGATTTCGGCTATGGTCTTGTGGAGCCGTATCTCAGTCTTTTGGTCTGCGGATTTTACAGCAGCTCGACGATGGATAGTGTGGCTCAGCCGAAGGATCTGCTGAGTCAGCTGGACCATGAACGCTGACCTTCGGTCAGTTATCTGAACTTCGAGGGTTCAGTGCCGGAGAACGACGGATTCTACGAAACAGTTGGCGGCCTTTGCAGAAGAGCCAAAGGCAAAGGCTTTTTTCTCGGCCTACCATGTCAGGTAATCTGTGGGAACAATTATGGAGCGGTTCCATGACGCCGACGCTGGGAAAGGTCCTAGTGTGTTCATTCCGATCTGCAGAAAAGGAGCAATAGATGGCTCATTCGGTCACAGGGGCTCTGATGAGTTTGTTAGACGTTTTCTGCGGCGTTTACACTCAAGGTACAATCTTGTGTGCTGGAGAACTCTGTTCGAAAGCTTATGCCAGTAGCACTTCTTGCGAATTCAATCAAGAGTCCTGCTCTAACCGAGGTCTCTGGACGTTGGCTTTTCATGACAGGCTTGGAAGATCTATACTCTTAAACACCGGGAGGAATCATCAAGAACCACGTCGAATTGCTGTCTCCGAAGTTCTTTTCGTAGAGTACGGCCTGTCGAATGAGTAAGATTAGCAATGCTTTTCAGAAGATACTGGGAACTGTAATCTTTCGTACTCTGAATTGCTTGATCAAAGCGCGCAGTACAAGATCGTGTCACTGAAGTTTTAAAATTTCATTGACGTTTACCGCTCCCATAAATATCTCGTCATCTTCGACGTTGGAGCCGGTGGGAGCTGGCTCGAAGGGTGCTCTCCTCTGACTTCTAGACTATGCTCACCTCCAAATCCTGCAGCCGTATACTTAATCTAGCGAGGCGTCCAAATGGGTATTTAATTTTGGCGAGCGAACACAACGAGTGGTGGTCTGTGACCACTCGGAACGTTTCGTTATTTCCCAGGTAACCGCAAGACATTCCTTCTCA